AGGAGAGAGTTACTGTCTTCTAATTTGCCTGCAATTGGCTGAGAGTGGTTAGTTGAGCTTTGTATTTACTGATTTACCTCCTTATAATTGCATAGCCTTGATTAAGTTAACTCATCTTTCTGAACCTATCTCCTGTTTGTTGGAACAGAGTCAAAAGCATGGTGTATGGTGAACAATGCCTGGAGCCTGTGGGAGAGGCTCAACTGTATTTTGTTCCCTGGACTGTTCTTGGGTTTGATTTCATGCCTCCTGTAACAAACATTTACATTCAATTTGTAAGACATTTATTCTTGTTGGATGTCAGAACATAGCTGGAGAGCCCAATGTGGTTAGTGTACCCAAAATCTGGATATAGCCTTCTGCTTTTCCATATATAATCTATAGTATGTGCCAGGCAATTGTGTTTAAATTTTCTGTCCTGAGAGTTCTGGGAAAGGGCTCTTCAGTTAACATTTAGTATGTGCTTACTGATATTTATTTACATGTTTTTCTGAACTCAACCTTCTTTGGATCATTTCTTTCTTTGTTTCATTTTTGTAAAAAATGTAGACTGTAACTGAAATAAAGATGTCTACAGCATTAAACTGTAGTCTACCCATTCTTCCATGTCCTCAGATTTAATGTTTTGCAGACACAGATCTGTATATGTTGACAAAACTTGCCACCTCTTCTATAAAGTGTGATCATAATAAAAATTTCATGGGAGAATGATAATAGTGTTCAGGGTTTAGTTGTGGCTTATGTCAATTGCCTAATATCAGAAGGCTTCTATTTAAAAGAAATTGATGTGATTCACAAGTCAGAAAGTAGGTAAGGGATGAGGATAACTAATTAGTGTGAGTTATTGCTTATAATAGACATTTGGAAGCATATTTGTTTGGCATGTGTGCTTATTGTTTAAATATCTAATCACTTGGTAATATCTATGTTGTTTGTAAGTTTGGAATGGTAGAATATGCTCCATTAAACAAATGATACTTAAACAGATAAATGAGCCTCGCTTTGAGATTATTTCTTTTCAAGATGGACTCTTTCTCCACGGCTCCCTTTTCTAAGCCTGGATGCATACCTTGTGGCCCTAAAACTGATTATGAAGGAGTAGATACTGCTTATGAGACTGAAATAGGAAAAACTTAAATAAATGGTGAGTCACTTACTTATATTTAATTGAGCATCATTTGACATTCACTTCCTCCAGGCTGCAGGCCAGGCTCTGATTTGTAATGCTTGTTTTATAGATGCTATGAGCTGGCTACAACTGTGTGCTTTTATGTACTAAATTAGAGTATGTGAGAGGTAATTAGGTAATTCTTAGTTAACCCTTTAAAACACTGAGCTCTTTTGAGTATTAGAGTAAATAAATGTTGTTATACTAATATGGTAGAGTTCATATTTATACATTTTGCTTTTTAATAGCAGACTATTACCATTTTATTAGTGATTGACTATGACAGTAGAAGGTAGTTGATCTTGAAACACTATAAAAATATTTAAAAATCATACTGTGTGCACATCATTCCCTAGTGGTAGAAGTATTTGTATACTAGATTTAGTTATTGAGTATAATAAAGATTTAACTAATAATTATTGATTATATTTTACTTGTCATTGCTTTTGATCTCATGAATTTGAAGAACTTAGGACAGTATTTATGTGATAGTTTTGATGGAATTATAGGCCTAATTTTGTCCCAAACATACTAGAAATCACTTCTAATCTGTTATGAATAATAGTGGATTAAATACTGTAAGTGGGAAGGATTATTTCACTTTCTGTGTTCCTTAGAATTACACACTTTAAGTCACTCGGGGAATTTTAATTAAAAATGAAGACCCTGGGACTTGCAAGGTGACTCCAAGAGTAAATCAATTGTTATGCACATCTGAGAACCGGAGTTCCATCCCTGTAATCATCAGAAAATGGAAGGAGAGAATTGACTCACTCAATTGTACTCTGGCCTCCAAACATGTTCTGGCATGTGTGCTCTCTCACCAAACACATCACACACACAAGGGCATTAAATTCTAAACAAAATGAAGGTTCTTGCATCCACCCGTTAAGATTTTATTGTAGAGAGACCTAGAATCTGACTTTTCAAAGCATACAAATTTAATGGCTAAATTTAGTTTTAGCATACATTGAAGGGACCCATTCATTTCTCTAATATTTGTAGACTACCAACGGTGTTGAGCGGACCTTCTTAGAATGTCCCCTGCAGGTAGGCATCTAATCTCTCGCTAACACAGCAGCAGCTTCTCCATTTCTCATTTAATCGTTAGTCTCATGGCACTAGAATCTTGGTTGCTCACTTGACCACAAGTCTTTAGAGAAACCAATGGAGAAGGAAATCCATGACTGGCCCAGCAGGTGTTCACCCTTTCAGTATCATACCATGAAACCAAACCATGTTTTTCACTTCTAGTAATTAACTGTTTTAATTAGGAGTTTTTCACTCTTATTTACACAATATTCATTTACCTTTCATTAACATAGGAAACTGAACTTGTGGGCCATCATAAATCAATATTATTTGCATATGCATACTCATGCGTGCTAAGAATAATGACAGCATTGCATCATCCTTCTATTAAGTTTAGAAAATTCTCCTGTAAGAAGGCTGAATCTCAGAATCCATCTGTGAAGATTACTAAATGGTTCAAATCAAATCTAAATATTTTTAAATATGTTTTTATTTGAAGTAGAATTCCATCACTTTCCCCTTCTTTCTTTCCTCACTCTGACTACTCCTAGTTGATCACACTCTTAACTTTAAAGTCTCTTTTTCAAATATATTTGAAACAATAATATGCAATCTCACACACAGTCACACATATCTGTGCCCAAAAATATACTTGCAACTTGATAAGTCTGTTTTGTTGCCTATGTGTATATGGATTCAGGACTGACACTCTGCATTGGCCAACCAATAAGGGGGCTCATTCCTGGGAGAGTTAATTCTTCTCCTATTAGTCATTACTTGTCTGTAGTTCTTTGTTTAGTGGTGGCACAATTTTCCCCCTTCAACGTTAATATGTTTGTTGATTTTTACCATTGTTTTGTCCTTGTTTATGTATCAATTTCTAGGAAAGACTGTTTCACAGCAGACTTTCCTTCTATTCTGGCTCTTAAAATCTCTCTGTTCATTCTTCCTTGATGTCCTCTGAGCCCTAGTTGCAAGAGCTATGATATATATCTATCCTTTGGTGCTGGCTTCCCATTACCTGTTGATCTATGAATTGTGTCCAATCTATTAAGTATCCTGTGATGGTCTCCATTTGCTGTAAAGAGAGGGCTCGGATAAGGAGTGGTGTTTACAATTATCTGTGAGCATAAGGATAAGATTAGGATGTATTAAAGAATTATGCTCATGTAGCGAAGTCGGGCTAGTATAGTCTATTCTAATGTCCATGATCTCACTGGCGCCAGGAAGCTTGCTAAGCTTCTCGTACCAAGCATGATTTCTGTCCTGTTGAGTTTGGTATGTTCAGTTAGGCAGCCTTTGGCTGCCACCAGCAGTGATGCTTCTTTCATCTTTACTAATATTTTGCCATGTTGCTCATTCTTGTGGTTCATGGATGTTGCAGCTGGGTAGAATTGTAATGTTGCTTCCTTCTTTTAGCAGATTGAAAAGAATTTTCTTGTACCATAAAGGCTAGATGGCAGGAAAGAGGATTTTAGGTCAGTTCCAGTTCGACTCATCCAAGTTCTGTGTACGCATTTTCGCACACCTACTTCTTTACAAAAAAATTGTTAATGTTTTTAATTCAATTAAGTTTTTGAAAATTTCACATATGAGTAATATAGTTACATAATTTTTTATCTTTTCTTTAATCCTTTTCCTCTCTCCAATCCCTCCCATGTCCCCCTTTCCCATACATATATGACACACAATATATAATTGTACAATGTATAATAATTTATATATAATGTACAATATATAGCACATATGATACATTACAATGTATATAATACATAATATAGTATATGCGACTGCTTTTATATATATAAACACAGTTGCTAATATTGTATATATTATATATCTTAGCTGAGAGGTGAATTAATTCTCCCCAAATATGACCTTTCATTAATACATAAACATATGAATAAAACTAAATGGACTATCAGCTTTTACTTACACTACATATACACACATACTATATATACACTACATATAAATATAAATATATATACATATAGGAGAGGGCAAAAGCTACACTTATCTGTGGGTATAAGAATAATCATTTAGAATGTATTTAGAAACTGTAGTAGTTGAAGAAGGTGGCAATAGTAGGTTTACTAATTTCATGACCTTACTAACCAGAGGAAATTGGTCTGGTTTCCTGTACCAGGCGTGATTAATTGGGTCTTATGTCCCATGAGACAGCTGTTGGACACTGCCAAGATATAATTGGCACTATTGTACTTTTAGGGATATTTCGCCTTGCTGGTCACGTTTATTGTTGATTGGTTGTTGTAGAATATTATTTTAAGGTGTGTTACTTTTATTTATGCTCTGCAACATTTGTTTAATGAGGCAAAAATATGTTTGATTAAATAAATTTCACCTGAGGTCAGGAGGCTGCATCAGCAACTAGCTGACAGAAAGTGGTAGGGAGGAGCCAGGTGGAGAAGGGTTTTTAAGGAGGGGCAGGGTAGGGCTTTTCAGGGAGATGTGACAAGGAGAAGAGGTGAATGACTTGCTGTTCATCCTCTCTGAGGAGCAGAATTCTACTTCAACCTTTGAGCCTTGAGTTATTTAGAGGAACAGAGATTTAGATAAGTTCCCTTGGTAGCTTTAAAAGAGTTGGTGCCTGAGGGAGCAGAATCCCCTCTGGCTACCGCTCTTGCATCTGAACCTTGCATCTGCTGTTAGCAGGAGGAGTTGCAGTTGCTGATTTGGACAGCCATGGCTAAAAAGGTAACAAACAGCAGTTTAAAAAGAGGAGGACGGTTGGTGTCATAACCCGGTAGGACTATTGATCGCTGTCCTCCCTTGGCAGTTTGTAGATCACCTTCTGATACAATGGAAGCTAACCTTCACGAAGAAGGACGGAGTACTGTTAGCTGGAAGAAACAAAGGATCGGGAGGTAGAATGATAGAAGCAGAAGGCACACTGAGTGATATAACCCAAACCCAGCAGTACCCATGGCACATGTGTTCTCACAGCTGAGGTTTCTAGTCCCATATCTTCATGTAAGTATATAACCCACAATAACCACAGAAACCAGAAAATTGAAAGGAGTCGTGGCACGTGTGTGCACGAGTGCATGTGTGTGTGGGGGGGTGGGGTGGGGTCGGGGGGTTGGTCTTCTAATGGGTTTTGGGTCTGGGATAAATTTCATTGTTTAGGAGGGTTGGTTACAAGTTGTTGTTAAGGGTTAGGAAAAGGGCTAACTAAGCAAAGGAGATTAAATTTAAGGTTCTTGTTTCTAATATATATATATATATATATATATATATATATATATATATATATGATAGAATAGAGGGTAGATTACTGAATCTACTTGAAAAAATAAAGAGAAGATATAGATATGATACAATATAGATAAAAAGATAGATTATTGAATCTACTTTTAAAAGACAATTACTAGTTTTAAATACTTTACATTGGATTGGATTTTTGGATATTGTATACAAATTATATATATATATATATTGAGATTGATATTATTAGAAAATGCTATATGTATATTTCTAATCTTGTTCAAGATATTGTATTTATACCATTCATTTAACAATGTAATGCAATTTGCTAATCCTTGAATATTACTACTACCAGCTATTAGGATATAAAGAAATGAAAGTTCATTGTTAGACATTACAATCGAACTTGTAGTCATATTAGGTATTTTTTCAAGATGGAGCAAATATATTTTAGATAGACAGGTCATCTTCAAACCCTTCAGAGAGCTACAGAATATGGCATTTAAAATGTTTTAATAACTTAGAAATTTTTTCCTTTTTTTATGACTCTGAGACATGTCGGCTCCTGGCAGTACCAATCTACTTCAGAGAAAATATGGGCATTGAAGAAACTGCATATGGTGTTAACTTTCATTGTGGCAAAAGTTAGCCACTGGACAACAAAGTATCCTCGAATCGACTGCTCACAAACAGGACAAAATGAACTGATGGGATACAAAACAAAGGACTACAGATTCTTGCCAAGACAAGTGTGGTTGTGGCTTTAACAACAGGCATCTTCTGAGGCCAGGACAATAAGGCACCATCACTGAAGTGGCCTTTACAATCCAGAAAAGGTACAGTGCCTCATTCTTTGAAGGCAGCTGAACAGGCAGTGGACTGATGGCTTCTGATGTGCAGAGGAACGGCAGCTGAAACAGTTATTCTTGAAAGAGTAACTAAGCTCACACCTCTCAATGGTAGGCTGGCATTTAATAGAGGGATATGGAGAAGAACGGGATGCTGAGATGAAGCCACACACACATACAGCCAAGAAGAATGGACAGCTGAATTAAAAAAAAAAATCAACAATTTCCAGAATTTAAATTCCTGAATCATGACAGGACACTAGTGGAATTCAGGTGTTTCTAGTACATGGACTATTCTCACCAAATTTGAGGTTGAACTGTTGTCCTTGTGTACATCCTACTTCACAAATGAGTCCGTCAGATACGCTGAGCCTATAGGCTGAAGATGATGCCCCAACGCTGCAGAGAAACCTCGGGTGACTGTCCAGGGAGCTGGCTGTTTCTGTCAACTCACATTTTTTTGGAAGCTGCTTACATACACTTCCTGTTTATTTCCTTCTTGGGTCTCTGAGGGAGTTGAAGATTAGATAGTTATAGTTGAAGATTAGACAGTTATAGTTTTCCTTGTTAAGAATTTTAGAAAAGAAACTCACTAAAGAGGTGTAAGTGTATAAATTTGAAAGACATTATAAAATAGTTCTGTTAGTAATATAAGTTAGAATAGAAAGGGAATCAGGTATATTTTGGACCTACCAAAATAGGATAGATAATGGAATTATTTTCTCTGAATTTGTCAAATGCAAATGGACTAGACATTGTTTAGATACTTATTGCTTGTATATATTATATATAGTTATTATACTCTTTGTATATAGTTTTTCTTACATGTTATAATTTTTTTCCTTTTTTCTTTTAATTAGAATAGAAAGGGGAAATATGGTGATATTTTATTTGTGCTGAAATGTGATTTTGTTTGTATGTTAATAAATAAAGTTTCCTGGGGATCAGAGCTAATAGCAAACCATAGCAGAAATCTGGCAGTGGTAGCACATGCCCTTAATCCCAATCGCATGACAGGCAGATCTCTGTGTGTTCAAGGACACAGCCAGCATAGAGACACATGCCTTTAATCTCAATACCAACCATAGAAGACCTGGAGGTCTGTATAGACAGGCAGTGATGAGAAGGCAGAATAGAAAGTCAATAAAAAGACAAACACACATTCCTGGTCTTTTCCTCAGGGGAAGGATGGCAGCGGCAGCGAAGGGTAAGAAGGAGGTCTTGGTCTCAGCTCTTAGCTACTGCTCTCTGACCTCTGGGGCTTTTAACTCTGCATTTGGTTAAGAAACGTGTTTTTTATTTAATAAAACCAGTCAGGATTACATGTACGTGTGTGTGTGTGATAGGAGCAGGAAGATACAGGTGATAGGGAGGGAGAAATGGGAAAACTTGGGGGCTTTAATTGGGGAGGTTGGAGGGAGGACAATACAGGGAGAGAGAAGTAATAAATAACACTGAAAAAGCCATAGGGAATCATATTATATATTTATCTAAAATTAAATAATATATATGTGTCTATGTATATATATAAATACACACAATATATAAAAATACATGTATATAGTATGCATAAATATATACCATAACACACATGTATGTATATTTATATTTATGACTAACACTTGGTGTGATAACACTCCCTACAAGAGCCATAGATTATCTTAAAAAAAAAACTCAGTACTAGGCATGGGAGATCTTTCTCAGTGATGATCAGGGAATCCAAGAGACTCCCAGACAATATAGGCCATTGTTATTACCCTTGGCTGCCTCCCAGATAATGTAGTAAGTCCATATTGTTGAAGACACCACATACTTCAGATGCAGGACTAGGAGGAATCAAAGTGCATCTAAACTTATTTCTTTATAGGTTTTAATACAATCACTTTTTTAATCAGATGATTTCTGGGATGTATTTGGGAGCAAAGCTATTTCAACATTTGCAGTTGCCAGAAACATTTCAGTCACACTATGATTGAAACCCGTTAGCAGTGGTGAGTTGGCACAGACCTTAAGGAACTGATGTAGTGTTGCTATGACCATAGTTGTCTCACAAATGGCACAGGAAGGATGAACTGTTAAAATAAAATGTCTAGGGACATGATTCAGTGAAGAGAACTACCCAGAATATGCAGTTCTCTGGTTCAGAGATTTGAGTAGGTAAGTTTAACCACAGGAGCACTTTAAATTAAGAGTTCATGGATTATCTACCCTCTCTCTGCAAACATTACCCTGTCTACTCATTTAAATGCCTTCTTCCTATTTTCTCTTTAAGTGGTTATGATTGTGTCTCTCCTTACAACTTCTGACACTTCCACCAAATCACAGGTAGCCCTCAAATTGCTAAATCAGTGGAAGGTTTCCTGGTCACAGTATTGTGACAGCTAGAGCAAAGATAAAGCTACATCCTCAATATCCTTAGGAAAATACTCTCTTGTATTTTGAGTGTAGTGGAAAAGTTAATAACACCAGTATAAAAATATCAAACTCCCAGGTTGACTAATGTGTTGGCACATTGTTCTCACTCCCATAGCTGTCCCTGCTTTGGAACTGCGAAGTTGGGCAGATGTAGTAAGAACAGAGTGTTCTGATGGATGATGAATCAGAACCCAAACAGACCTGGCTTTAACTTTCAATTTCAATACGTTTTTACTATGGAGTCTTTTGCACTAATTTTGTACTTTTGTGCTAACTTTGTAAATTTTTGTACTAAAATTTAAGATAAGTGAAATATTATTTGTGTTGATTGCTGAATTTTGAATGTTTCTGTATATACTGTTACACTTTTTTACCCAAGGCAAATGCATCACTCATCTTTACCTTAATCCCAGCCCTACATAGTACTTGCATTCAGTAGAGAAATGGATACTATTTTGCTGTTGTTGTTTGTTTGTTTCTTGACTGTATCTTCTCAGAGTTTCTGCGATGCTGCTGACTTGTTCATCAAAATTAATTCTCAGGATTGATCTGAGGCTTTCCTTTCCTTCCTACCCTTCACACTTTGGTGCTCAGTGATTAACCCACATCATGACTCACACACTGTTGCTTACACACTTCTTGGGTGCTTTCACTCATTGCACAGCTATTGCTTTATATCACACCCTCATTGTGTGTGGTAAGATTGTTCCAACAGGCACCTAGTGAAGCCCACTCATCTCTACCCTCTCTAGTCCACAGTGCAAGCAAAATGGTACCTTTTCACAGTGAACGTTTGGTTCATTTATTTATTAAGCACGTATTTTTCTTTATTTTTAAGTCAGACACTGTTTCAAACCCTAGATATAAATGAGGAAATGAAAGAGAAAAATTACGAAATCTATGATTAGCTAGACCTTATATCCAATTTATGTGATTGAAACTGCAGCTATTAGCTCTGCCATATTCTTACTATTAAAGTACAGTGAGGTTTAGTGAGCTATCCTAGGACACACAAGTAAGTGTCATAGCTCCAGTTTGAACACAGGTAGTCTTTTTCTAGTCTACCTGAGACATTTTTAGTAAGTTACCTGCCTTTTAATCTCCAACATAACCTGATAAAAATTTACAATTAATATAATTTCCCACCTTATGTATGAGAATGTAAGTCTAATTGTTACTGAATGTTACAGACCTCATAGCAAATTGGGGCTAATACACAACAATCTGCCACTATAACCTTTTTGAGAAATGTCACTAGGAAGCCATTATCATTAGACACAGATGTGAGTTTCATTGCATGGATATCAACATAAGAAACATGAAGACATAGGGATGAGCAAGACAGAAAGGAGGAAAGAGTAATCAGAATACACTTATACATTATGAAATTGTCAAAGAAAAATATTAAGCAAGAAAGAAAAACAATGGAACCAAGAACTGCATAGTGTGCTGGTGTTTTGCTAGGAACCCCTTGGGTTGCCATGATGGGGTCAGAAACCTGAA